CAAGCTGTGGCACCCATCCCGACTGGGAGTGGAGTAGCCAGGAAGAGGCACCGAGGAGGTTCTGAAAGAACAGAAGCTGAGAACCTGTAGGGACTCCGGTCTAAGGCCTTGGCTGACGTACGATCCCCACGAAGCTCCACCAGAGCTATTTAGATAGATTTTTTGGTCTTCACTTTGGAGTAGGTAAACTCCACCACTCTTTATCGTCGTGGCATTCTTACATAAGTTGAGGAGCAGACTCATTCCGGCTGCCTCTTGCTAATGAACTGGCAGAAGTGCCAATAAGAAGGGAAAGGCAGAGTTGATTCTGTGAGTTCCCTGGCGGAAGGAAGGGTAGCTATGATCTTTATAGATGTACAACCCTCACCTATCTTTAAGATAGGGATGGCACAGATAAAGAGGGAGATGAGCTTAGGAGTTTTCTTGCTGGCGCGAAAGCAACAAGCACCGGTTAGACGACTGGTAGAGGGGGCCCTTTTTCTTTCTGTTGTCCGATCTGTTTTAGCCTCAGGCTAGGCTAAGAAGTGTAGCCGATAAGAGGGCTGATTTAGTAGACCTGTAGGAAAGAAAGAACTCTTAAATAGCTTGACCAGTCGGTCAGGCAGGCCTACTTTCGACCCGTTTCGTGCCCAATACCTCCACCAAATAAGGGTCACTTCGGTTTGAACCGGGTCACTTCACTCCGGTTTGAACCTGCGGGCCCCTCACCCTTCTCTATCTAATTAAAAGAGTCTTTTTTTCTTTAGAAAAGACTCTCGACGAGTTGAAGTGTAAAATGATCGGCAGGAGAAGACGAGATGAAGATGCGGGATCTTCCGCATAGATTCTGGTCTCACTCTCTTCGCTCATCCTAATCTTGGTAGTTGTGGTTTTCGTAACGTAGGGTGGGTAAGCTGGAGGGGACCTCTTATTAAGTTTTAAGTGAAAAAAACAACAGATATTTACTTTTTTTTATCATCCATTGCTCGTAGACAAAATATGCTTATGCTCGTTTCCCCATTCTATTGGAGTGAAGGTTAGCCCAATGTTAGCATTCAGATCCTCAGCCACCTTTTCCTGGCTTTCCAAACAAAGCCCATCGAAGTCCAGTCCATCTAATTCAATTTATTCCCACTCCAGGACGGCCCAAGCAGCTATCTGAGTGCAATCGGCAAAAGCAAGTTTACCTTACTTATTTTAATAATATAATTTGTTCTGCTATCAAAAGTAGGGGAAAGTGTCTGATCCTTTCAATCAAGCGATAGAGGCAGAGGCTTTACTTCAATCGCCTACGCTAGGACGGAGTGTCAAGTGAGGATTGCTCCATCTATGAAGAAAGGACGCAGGGGGCCTCTCTTATTATATTAGGGGAAGCAATCTATGTCATTAACTTTTCTATCTATGTCATTAGATAAGGAAAGAAGGGGCGGTCAATAGAAGAGGCCACAGGCTGTCTGCCTAACTGAAGAAGGCATTAGCCACAGTGCAGTATAAAACCTTACTCGTCAGCATTTGTCCTCCAAGAAATTGATCATACATGGCTTCCATGATTCTTCCCAAATAAGATTGGGAACAGAAAGGTCAAACTCTACACTCACTGGCAAGTCGACAAGGGAAAGCACATCTCATGTGATAGATGAAGCTCCTTCATACTACCTTTTGAGAGGAAGGAATTGGTTACATCAGCATCAGGCTATAGCTTCTATTTGTCACCAGTCTCTCAAGTATTTAGAAAACAGGGTGGATGTTATAGCACCTGGAAACCTCAAGCCCTTTGAGGAAGAATAAGAAGACTATGTAGAAGCCTCGGTGGTCACTAGCCGTGGTCGCTAGTAATCCCAAGAGAGAAAGAAGACTAAGCGATAAATGAAGCAGAAAAATTTGAGAAAGCCCATATTAAGTTAAGGAATAAAGAAGAGGATAAGCTGTGGTGGTCGCTAGCTCCATCCGAACCTTTGATTTGAAGAGGAGCGGAACACTCTACCCTCTTAGCCCCGCCAAAGGAGCTACATGCCCTTAACTGGATGAAGCAAGCACCCGACCCTCGTAGATCAGTTGGACTGGGCCGGATAGCGCATCCAATTGCAGGATAAGGAAAAGCAGAGGAAGAATGGACAGAAGCTATTGGCATAGAATAATATAGTAAGAAAATTAGCAGAAGATCCTTTCTCCTCTCAGCTCTTGGAAGCTCCCTCCGTCGGCAAAGAAGGTTTAATCGGAATGGAGAGGCGGAGGCAGGTAAATAAACCTTTCTTTAAGCAGCAAGAGTTGCGGTGGGCGAAGGTATCAACTCATGTGAGATAGTTTCATCGGCCTTTGGTACCTAGAAAATTTCAATCCAAATTCCCACGGTTCTACTTTCGCGTGGTTTTGGTGTCTCTTCCTCATTTTCTTTATCATTTGAATTTCTCTCATCAATTTCATTGTGCTATGCTATTGAACAAATTCTTTTCTGGTATAAAAAATATCCTTCTTCGCCCTTTATATCCTCATCTTAAGTCTAGATTTCGTCGATTAATCATCTCTTGCATCATCCTTACACCGGTTCTCTTGTGTCTTTCTTTCTGAGTTCGAAATCTATGTCTTAAGCATAGTGCACGAAAGAAGAGTATGGCATCTCTGCTTTATGCTTTCTAGTAAAAGTAGGTAAGCCAGTCAGCAAGCCTATTCATTCCACGCAAGCAAGCTAGCCAAGGGGCCAAAGAGTAGTAGGCTTTCAAAGAATCCCCTTCCCTGCTGTCTGTCCTTTCTTATCTTTTTATCTGAAAAAAAAAGGGGGCTTGAGTGGACAAAGACTTCTTAACGTACCTATTGGTCAAGTGGTTAACGCTCCTTCTTATGCTTTTCCTTCTTCGGAAATGAAAACATTTACCTTGTTCACCGGGTTCATACTCAGATAAGTATGCCACGTATGTCCTTCTTGGTCTGTTTGTTTGTGGCCAGGGGAAGTCGCATGAATAACGAAAAATAAAAAAGTAAGATGCCCCACTAGTCTGATTTTATTGATCACTAGCCCTTACTTACTCTCAGTCACTGATTCAAGAACGAATACCGAGACAGCCGTTCCCTTGCCGGTCTACTGCCTGATGGCTTTACATCGCTAAAGAATCAGTAATTGACAGCAAGAGCTAAGAATCCATAAAAGGAAACAATTGGATTGGCAATGTGCGCTCAAACCTGCTACTAGTCTCTGTGATCACTTATGTCATTTCAGTAACCATCATTCCGCCAGTGAATGTGTAGCGAAAGAAGGGAAAATGACTATTCTGATACATCTGACTGGTTGACTTTCAATCAATCTTCAGAGCACAGAGGGAAGGAATTACCCACACCGAACAGCATGTGTTAAGCATTTCGTTTAGGCAAATAAGAGCTCGCATAGCTTATCTAATCTCCATCATCTTATCTAGCCTTTCCTCGGGAATAGCGGGACGGGTTCCCTATATTACGAGCAACTATATACAATCCTAAAGGGGAAAGCTTCTCTCGAATGTATGAAGGAGAAGAGATACCCGAAGGCATCTTTTCAGAAGCATTTCCTACCCCGCCTGAAGCTAGCATATACCCGCCATGGCGAAGAGGCCATATGTTGCAGAGGTGTGTCGAGGCCTGCTACGCAGAGGCTCACAGGGAAGAAAGAAAAGGGAGGAAGTGACTTCTTGCACAGATTAGCCGCTACGCTCTTTGCTTTATGGCTTACAGGAGTACTTGACTAGCCTGCTTGACTGATCTTACAGTTCTCGAATCAGCTCTTAGGGGGGTAATTCATTATGCTTAACACAGGGGGTTCGGGCGTTGCAAACAAAAAACAGAAAGAAGGGATTGAGAGAGGGGATAAAGGGATTTGGCTCTGCAGATGATTTTCAGAAGAAGGATCGCATTCTCTACTTCTATCATTGGTGCTTTCGTATATAAGGAGCTTTTTGGTATGAAAGGTGATCTTAACTATAAAAAAAATAAGAGAAGAAATATCGTATCAAAGAAAGTCTTACGTGCTCTCTCCTCTTACTTAGATAGAATAGAGAAGGTTGAAGCTTATAGGTGGTGCCCTAAGCGCAAAGAAGCTCCCATCATGCTACTTCCACTATATGCTTAACACATGCGAGTCGAACACGCTCTGTAAACAAAGGTCGACCATTCTTATCTAATCGAAAGGGGAAAGCTCCAGCATGCGAAGACGAGTGGGCGAGCTTTATTTAAGAGAGAATGGGGGTCGTGGAAGAATTAGGTTCAAGTCCCATAGCCCAATGTGTCGAAATAGAATGATTGGGTCGACCAGATCATTTTTCTTTGTTTTCCGGTATACCGCTCCGCAAACAAGGAGCGAAAGAGCACGAAAAAGTTCCTATGGTTTTCTTCCTCATTCTCCATAACCCACATAGAGATAGGCTTAGGCAATAAAAATGCAAGTCCATTTTTACCTTGGACTAAATAAGCCTAATCTATTTGAACCCGCTACTTATGTCAGGTTGGGCCAGGTTGTCCGTTTTGGCAGCTCTAATAAAAATTACACATATTAAAATGAAAATATCACAAATAAAATTATACTTAATATTTAAAAAAATTAAATCAAACTTCTATTCAATCTTTTAAATATATATTTAAATTATTAATTTAAAAATAAAAATATAATTTATAATATATATATATATATATATATTCAATCACAATTTTAATTATGCATTTCTCAATCAATAATTATAACTCGTGACTTTTCTTTTCTTTTATTTTAAAGTAAATTACTCGAGTCAAATTTAAATTTATTTATATATACGTAATTAGAAACAATGTTTGATTTGATTATATAAAAGGTAACGATTTTTTCTTTAAAAATAAAAAACTATGACCAACTAACTACATTTAAAAATTATTTTGCTAAATATATATGATGTCTATTTTTTTTATAGAACTTTGTGTAATTAATTTGTAAAGATCATGATAAGTGTAGATAAGATAAAATATCATATCATATATTTTATTAATTAAGTACTCTTATAGACTTAAATATAAGCAAATATAAATATTAATTAATTTTAGTTTATTTAATGAAATTATTTCTAAAATACTCTTTACTTAAATGGAATTTACTTAAATCCTTAAAATATCATGAAAGGCGATTTAGAAAATAAAATTTATTATTTAAATAAAATTAAAAAATTAAATAAAATTTTTTGCTATTCTCAACTAGTGTGAATTGGTTTCGGAAAAGTATTTGTTAAAGTAATAGAAATAATATTAATTTATCATGTTACATATTCTATCTTGTTAAATCAACGTAGTTAATATAATTCATCGGAATATAAATGTGTTAGAAGAACAAAAGAATAACAAATGATTTTTTTAAAATACTCTTTATATAGTTTGTCCTCTCACTCCTGTCTATTTTCATATATTTAAAAATATTAAAAATATATAAATCTATAAATTAAAAATAAATAATTTATACTGCGTAAAAAAATTAAAATTTAATTTACTAGATGCAGAAAAAAATAATTTTATCATTTTTGATGTATTTATATTATATCTATCAAATATATATTAAATATTAAATATGATAAAAGTTTATTGTACTTTTATCTTATCCTCCTCTTTTATCATATTCATTTTGATTTTATCTTAGCTACTAAAATAATATTCTAAACTTAAATCTCTAGTCATACAGTTTACCCTCAAAAGTTCATCTACCTTAATTTTTGAAATTGAGTAGTCTATTAGATTATTATTATTTGGTAATGTACCATCTATTAGATTTTGCTGCCAATTTGCACTAAAATCAGGCATAAAGCATGCCAAATTTGCACTAAAATCAGGCATAAAGCATGCCAAATTTGATTCTCTCTTGTTCATGCAATGATGCATCAAAATTGACCTTGTAAAATCCAGCATGCAGTGGGGTGGGGATCATGTGTGTGTAATGTCATCATCAATGGTTAAGTGGGATAAATATTTTTCACGTTGTATTTTCTGCAAACAAATCGAATTTATTTTTCAAATACAATGTTTCACATCCATCTATTGTACCTAATACAATATATGACCCACAACATACCATTTTCTGATGCCAACTAAATATGAGTCACCTTTGAACACTGGTAATCTGGTATTAGTAGCACACATTGGATAAATAGCATCTGATGCAACACTTTTCGCTTGCAAATTAACACGTACTAAAAGAACATTTTCCATGTTTATTGGTAAAGACTTAATTACTAAATTTAGTATAGTTATAACAATAAATGATGGAGGAAATGGCAGCTTAGTCCTTTTAGTTTAAAGAATTTTTAAGGTTTGCTTCCCTTGCTAGTTTAACTCCAAAGTTATCATTATATATGTGTCGCCGGAAATTACCGTCTTGATCACAAGTGCTTCATAATGGAGTTTAAAAATCCCTATTTTGTATGCATCAAATAAACCAAAAGCAAGATAATGTATTAGTATTCTACAATGTTTAAATAATAATTATCTTAAATTAACTGTGTATATTCATTAGAATTTTGAAAATATTTATTTAACCTTTAAATAATAATTTTTAAATTTTTTATTTAAAAATTATTTAAGTCAGCGCCGTGAGAGGAAAATATAAAAGACAAATTTATATATATCGTCTTATATTTGTTATAGCTTTGCCAAAAATATTTGATTCCAAGTATCTGGAATTCCAGGCAAACACCAATGTATGCAATCTGCATTTCGTGGGTTAGCCTTTTCCTCTTGGGTTAACAACTTTCCCTCAGATTCAGTGTAAACAGAGGAATGAGCATCAATCCTGTACTCTGAGATTTGTGTAATGTTGATAAAACTCACTCGAACCTTCATTTTCTTCACTACATTTTCCACCACACTCATCATACCCTTATTAGAACCACTTCCCCAATGATTCTTTTTCATTATTGGCTTTGTCTCATTGAAACATTTCACTCCATCTTTGTTGCCCCAATCCGCGCTTCTGAAAACATCACACATTAATTTGTAAGCAACCCAGTTTTTTTTAGTTTGAATTATAATTTTCTTAAGAGAGACCTTGTGTGTGTTGGGGACATAGTTGTGAAGAAGACCCGTGTTTTGTTTGGATTGATATTTGAGTCAACCCAGTTGGCCCATGTCCTCAAAGCCAAGTTGTAAGCAACTTGTGCATCCAATTCTTCGTAACCTTCTTCTCCATTGCCAAATGAACCCCATCTGGAACCAAGCTAGATTAGACACCATTTTCTTCCTCTTGGTTAAAGATTAAATGTGCAATTTACTGAGTTTTGATGAATCAAAATTATTTCGAAGCAAATAGATGAATTTGACATGGACATTGACGTTCCATTAGATTGTTTAAAGAGCAAACTATGCTTTACATATTTGAAGGTTTAATGAACAGAATTTTGTTAAATTTTAAGTAATGTGTGGATACAGTTTACTCTAATTTATTTTAGGTAGCATGCAACAGCTAGGTTCAAATTGGAGAGGACTTACAGTGCTTTAATCTTAATATCACTCATCCACCAGACATAGGTATTGAAAATAAGGATATCCACTCCCATCCAGTTTTTGGCACGATCCATGATCGAATCAACTTTTACTATCTGCTTCTTGGGATCCCTTATGGTAAAGAACTCAGTATTGGACTCCACAAGCATTGGGGCCCAATAAAATTCTATGGTAGCATTATATTCCTATATGAAGGTAAAATAATAATTAGCTTGAGTTTTCAAAAAATTAAAACTATAAATTATCATTTTAAAAACATATAAAAATACCATAAGACATCATACACAAAAAATTATAGTTAGGCCATTTCATGGTTGATGAGAAAAATTAAAGATATGGACATCGAATTAGATGCCCATATGTACTATTCTTTTTAATTATTGTAGGCATAATGCAAATAGAAATTTTGGTCCTACTATTGTGAAATAATATTGGCATAAATTTCAAAACATAAATAAATAAATAGTAGCTTGACACGCTGTTGATCCATGGTATTGGAAGGGTATCCAAGAAGCATTTTAAAATATGAAATTTGAACACAACTTTTTTTTCGATATTATTTAAGAAATTAAAAGTAAAAATGATCAAATAAATAGTAAGTGTTTAATATTTAATTCACACGAAAAATTTCAAATAATAAATACTATTTAACCATGACAATTAGGACACTTTTTAGTCTTATTCTTAAACTATTTTTGATATGGTCGTTTATGCATTTGGGTATTGGATAAAATAATCAATTTAATTATATAGTAGTCATAGGTTAAAATATCATTTTATTAAAGATAACAAAGCTGATTCTATATTTATTTATTTTGAAGCTAAACGATCCAGAACCAGGAAACCATATGTTTAAATTATAAATGCTTGAATATAATATTTAATGTTTATCCTATGAGTACCTTGGCTTTGAAGACTGAATGAATTCCTCGTGTCATAGACTTTTGCTTTTGAGGTATGATCCATTCAACCATACAGACAAAGGATTCCCATTGGCTTTTTTGCAGTGAATCCCCCACAAACAACAACCTCTTTCCTTTAAGCTTTTTGAGAGCTAGTTCTGGATTAAATCTGAGAAACGTACATCACTTTAGAATTTGAGATGTTTAAATTATTAACTTTAAAAATTTCAAAAATTATTTTAATGATGATTTATAAATATGTTATTATATTTAATATTAATTGAAGAAATGTAAACATTAATTACTGAAATTATGAAAAGTAAAAATCTATTTTATTTAAAAATTAATTAAAAGTAAGATTAATATTAATATAATTTGGTTTAATGTGAGAACTCTTGACACATGTCACTGTATAAGAAACACTCATGACTTTAAGACAAAAAAACGTATGATGTAACTTTACAAAAATAAAAAATGTAGTCTCGATGCTTAAGAGTATATTAAAGAATGTGTTGCTATAACATGAAGAATGAGACCAACCGGGGCAAGGTGCAATCTTCTGGGTGCCATTCCCAATGAAGGTAGTAAGAATCTATCCTCCCATTCTTGACACAAGAATATGGTCTACTTATGTATGGACAGCTTGTGTCTGAGTACAAAGACTTTATTGAACTGTTAAACACCCATTTTCCATTTGTAACATCACACTCTTCTGGGTCAAAATCGAATCCACCATCAAACCATGAACCATTTATAATCTCCTCTTGTGTCTTTACATCATCTGTTAGTTTGCATGAGATATCATTGATGCATTATAGTAAAATACCCAGGTTGGTAAATAAAAAACGATTCAAAAAATGTTTAAATAATTGAAACAAGAACAAAGAAATGTGTTTAATTATTTTGTTTCAACTAAAAATATTATGAAATTTTTTATTATACCAATTTTAAAATTTGTTAATGCAATAAATGAATAGAGAAAAGATAAAAAACGGATTTTGAGATTATTATTGTCTTAAGAAAAAAAATTAATTCTACTTTAAAATTATAAAATGACTATTATTTTAAAAAATAAAATTAATTAGAAAATTATTTTTCGGAGAGTTATACTATTCAATGTTATTAATAATTGGATTCTATGATATTTTTATTTTTAATAAAAAAAATATTACACATAAGTTCTTATAATGTGTCATTAGCTCTTGTTATAAAAATTAAATAAATAATAAAATTTTAATAATGACTAAATTTGGAATTTTTATTTATTTTCATCTTACAATTATAGAAATTCTTTTATGTATAAAGTAAAGGGAAAATGAGGACTTACTGGACTTAGCCTTGATAATGCTTTTATTAGGAGGTTTGAAATTGAAAATGGAAGAGGAAGAAAAGAAAGAGAATCTCTCTGCATAGAAGATGGCTATGAATAGAAGGACACAAATTTTGGTGATAGGAAACTTTCCTCTGGGAGGCTTCATTGTTCCTATGTGATCCTGATGATGGGGATGAGAGAATTGAAGCTTAAATGTAGTTGAAAAAGTTTTAATTGATGCAAAGGACAAATCTTAGGGAGGGTGTAGGGGAAATAGTACATGTATTTTTTGAGTGTGAGTGAAGTTGAATCATAGGAATTGGTCAAGAATAAACTTAGCTGAAGTATAATAGAGGTAAATAATTGCCTTGAAAAGTGAAACATCTTGTGTTCCTCATCTTTTGTCCCTGCTACTGCAAGTCTGGAAGCTATGCATTTATTCAGTTGCTATGTTCTTTACATTTCCTGTGTGAAACATGTAACACTGAAATGTTATTGGAAGGGTTGTAATGTTAATCTTTCTTCAATATGATTTGTGCTAAAAGTGAGTGCATAACACATTTGTTCACAAGGCAAGTAGATGTTGGTCAATAATCAGGGCTGCTATATTAATATCTAGACTTTTAGCCAATTTTATGGTTAGATTTTTTTAAGTTAATCAAATAAAGTTTGTTAAAATTATTATTTCATTTGAAGTTTAAATTTTAATTTTTTTTATGACACAAACTTATTTACTAAATTATCGTAATAAACTTTATTTGATATTTTTAAAAATTAATAATAAAGTCAATTTATTTAAACTCTGTTGAGAATTTGTTAATTTTTTAAGTAATATTTATTAATTTTAATTTTCAAAAAATATTCAACAATGAAATTTTTTTTATAAAGGTTTAAATATTTTTTTTGTCTATATATTTTTGTAAGTTCTTTATTTTAGTCCTTGCATTATAATTTTTTTTTTTTATTTTTTGTGTTTCAAAGACTTCACTCCTTTACCTTTAGTTTAATGAACTTAATTTTACTTCTAAACTCACTAGTTCATGCTTCCCAAGTAACTTTTGTTTTTTGTTTTTTTTGTTTTTACCTCTTTTTCTTTTTTGAGTATGAGTGAAGTTGAATCCTAGGCATTGGTTGTGAATGAACTTAGCTGAAGTATAGCGGAGGTAAATGAGTGACTTCATGAAATCTTGCACTCCTCACCTTTTGTCACCCTAACTGGAAGCTATGCATTTATCCACCCACTTGTGAGAATTATGAATTATTATTGGAAGACTTGTTAACCCTCATAATTTGTTCATACCAACTGGTACATGGTGCTCAATTAATGAAGATATATTATCTTTTACATAACATTTTTTTGGTCTAATTTGAGTTTTCCCACAACAAATTTTTTTATTTGAGGAATTCTATCTGAAACATGTAACCTTTTTGCTACTCCTTTGAACTTTTTATGAACTTAATTTTACACAATTGAGTTAGAAATTTTGGGGGGAAAAATGAGAAATGGAGCATTCAAACCCCGCCGCATAATCAAAGGCATTAATTTTAAAACACCGATTTTAGCTACTTCAGCAGATGATTTATATATTTTATGTAAGATAAAAAAGGGGAAAAAATAGATTATGTTGACCTTATAAGTTAATATAGTAGTATGTAATTCAACTTATTTTTAAAATATCAAATAATATTTATTTCAACCTTTTTCTAAAAAATATGTAATTATTATTTTTAAATTTAATTTAAAACCAACAACATTTCTAAAATTGCGATGGATGTGACATTCTGACAGCCACTAGATCAGCCGTATTGCTTATACTAAAATAAATAAAAAAATATATAATTTAATTAAAGTTAATAATTTTTTAAGACAAAAACTAAATAAAATATAATTAAAAAAATCTCATGAAAACATATTTATCTTACAAAATATTTTAAATAAAACTTATAATAAATATAAAATTTAGACGCTTATATAAAATACATTATTTATCTATTCAACGATTAGTTCAACTAAAATTTGTTTTCATGTAAATTATTATAAAATTTTATAAAATTAAAATTAAAAAATATTTTATTATATTACTTTATTTTGACATAAAATATGTTATTAAATATAAATAAATATTAATTATTGAATAGTATACTTATAAATATTCAAATTATGAAAAAATTGATACAACATAATTGTAAAAAGTAATATTAAGTGATTTAATAGTTCCATAAGTAAATTTTATATTTTATAAAAAATATTAAATTATGTAATATCTAAATTTAATATTAGTATCAAATGATTGATTCATATATAAAATTAGAGGATTTTGTTTTGTTTTGGTATAATTAAAATTAGCGGATTTTGGTACCAAGTTCAGCACACTGATGATTATTTCTAACTTATACCGGTGATAATTATTCCTCTCTTTCTCTAAATTTATTCTCATACAAAAAATGTAATTTTTTTGCTAGATTTAAAATATGCTTTTATTGCATTGCATTTATATTTTCTCATATTTAAACTTTTATATTGTAACGTGTGAATTTTGGTTTAAAGGCATTGACAAATCAAGAAATTACACATAATCTATTTAATTACATAGAGCGAGTATCTATAAAAAAAATTCGATGACACTAAATACTAATTTAAATATTTTTACGGTAACATTTTCCCTGCAAAGCATCTTATCTCTTAAATTTTTATTAATATTATATTAATTTTATTAAATAAAATATTTGAATGATTAAATTAAAACTACACTCCTTTCTAGTTATTTTTGAATTGAGAGGATCTAAATTCAGAGATTAATTACACAACTGTTAGTTTAAAAGCATTTATTAAATATATCAATTTTATAAATTTTTATATAAAATAAATTAATAAATACTTCGTTACATTACTTTATTTTAACTGATAATATACTTTTAAAAATAAAAGTAAATATTAAATTGTGAATAACATATTTACAAATATTTAAATTATGTAAAATTTAATATACATAATCACGAAGATTATATAAGATAATTTAACGGTTGAATTAGTTAATTTTATATTCTATAAAAAAAAAATTTAAGTGGTATAAGTGTTTAAGGAAGATGTATTGGATTAAGATTTTAAAGTACTTTTTTAGTTAAAAAAAGTTTTGCGAATTTTAAAAGACTTTGCATGATTCTACAAAACTTTAAAATTAAGATTTTAATGTATTATGCAACATTTTTAAGTCAGAATTTTAATGGATTCTACGGTTGTAAAATTTCGTGAATATTTGACATAAAGAGTTCAAGATTTTTTTTCATACATTTAAAATTAAAAAGAGTCAAAGGACAAAATAATAAAAAATAACAATGTCTGAATAAATAATAATAATAATTCTTCATAATATCATATATTTCTAAATATCATTCACCCACATATCTATAGCTATATTAGTCCTCCAAGCATTAGCTTCTTTTCGCTCCTACTCTTGAGTTTGAATAATAGGTTCAAAATTATGATTTTCATTAAATGGTAATGTTAAAGATAAAGGTTCGTCTATCGGTTCAATTAGAAATTCATCAGAACGACATTATTTGCGAAGAAAGTTATGTAGTGATGTATATGCTAACACAAGTTCTACCTGTGTCTTAAATAAAAATAAAAGTGTTGACTTAAAAACTGTGAATCTTGATTTAAAAATACCAAGTATCATTAGGGTCTACTAACATGGAAGTGTGCCCATTAACAGTTCCACCCCCAACAAAAATATTCAAATTCTCATAATCAACCATACTTTTTTCTCGAAGATTTTTGCGAATTGGGTCAGACTAGAAAAAAAAATTCATTATTAATATATTGAAAATAATATAATGCACTAAACTTTTAAACTATTAATATATTTAAAAGATTACGAAGTAATCTCACCTTTAAAAACTCTTTACATACTTTATCACTAGCAGTTAATGTCTTTGTAATTGGGTCTCATTCAAAGTCAGAGTTGTTGTGCATAAGTGTTGACATATTATTATATTATTTCTTAAATCACTTCATTCGACTCAAGGAATAATTATACATTTTAGGAAATTTAATTTTAGCATTGAGACGAAGAAGGATGACTCTCTCCACATTTAGTTTGTCAATTGACCCATTAGCATCACACAGTCTACTTTTTATAGCATCCACTATCAACTGTAACAGTTTATCAGAATTCTTTTTAGTCTAAGTTTCATAGTTTTCTTTCTCTTTTCCCTTCCCTTTATTATTTTCTTGTGAATCTCCTATTTGAATTACTAAAACAACATATGTTGGAAACTAGTTATATAAATAATTATGGATAAAAATATTTATTAAATTTATATCTCACCTAATAGGTATTTATATAATTAAAAACAATACTATAGCCCCATAAAAGGCTTAATCGCTATATATATATATATATATATATATAGATACATTATTATTTCTATATTTTAGATATTTAAACATTCATTTATTCAATTAAAAAAAATACTCTATAGTATAGATAAATATCTCAAACTCAATAGTTAAAGGTATTAGTTAACTATTTGAAGATCTACAGTTGATTGTAGAGATCATGATATCAATTTTAGCTTTCACCTTCCTCTTTTTTTGATGCATGTCATAAAAAAATTACTACTTATAAGTTGAAATTTCAAGCGTTTTCTGTATTATATATTTGAGGAACAAAATAGAGCAAGTCAATGACACTGTCATTTACGTTTTCACTAAATAAGGGAATGAAATGAGAACAGTAGTACAGTATTATATATGAGTAGTAGTGCAATATTATTAACCAAAATAAAAATAAAAATGGAGAAGACAAGAACATAAAAAAAATAAAAATGAAAAACTCACCCAAAAATTCTTGAAGCACTTGAAAAGTTACTTCAAACAATCATCCAAAATATGATGGGTTTGAATGAGATTGTTTAATGAATTTGGTATTTATAGATACTATTAAAAAGTCCTTCAAAATTCCTCTAATATAACCATCCTTTAAAATACTTATATTCTTTTAATACCAATGAATTATTTTTAAGTTGTAAAAATTCTCAAATGAATATTAATAAATTTTAATGAAATCTTTAAAAAATCTTGAAAATTCAGATTGAATACCACTAAATTATTTTTAAGTAATATAAAATTTTAATTAAATACCAACAGATTTTTTTACTTAAAAAAAATCTTTTAAAATTTTATGAAATCTTAAAGCAATACATTTTCCTAAGTTTAATATCAGTGTCAATTAATTACAACTCATATATAATGCATTTTTAATTAAATAAAATATAAATTATTATTTTTTATTTATATCTGGTTGTTGTTGAACAAAATTAATTTTTAAAAAATAATTTTATAATTTTGAATTCTTCCCTCACTTGCAACTGTAGAATTCAGTTTTAAAAATAACTCCAATATTTTACTTATACTTACTTTATTTCACTCTCTAACACCATCACATTTATTGCATTCTTTTTCTTTTTTCTTCTAAGCATATACGCATGTCAATACATTGAATCCATCATTTTTGTATGAAGGAGATGATGACTCTTGTATGTTGGTCTAGCAATCTATCATTTTTAAGTGATTATAATGGAATTTTAATGTCAATGATATAGAATTTGTTCAGATAAATTTTTAAAAAAGTCTTTATAAAAAAATAATTAGTATAAATAATGAATAAAACTTAAGTTAAAAAATAATCTTATCTCATCAAATTTTAAAAGAGTTAAATAAGAGCACTTTTAAAAAGAAAGTATAAATTTTCTAACTTATAAAAAAAATTATTTATTTTTTATATAAATAGTTCTTTAATAATTTATCCAAAACGGATCGTATTTGATATTTTTTTTTTCTGATCCTATTGATAAGATACATATTAAGAAAATAAGCTAGAATTACTTGAAACAGTAGTTTTTTTTTAAAAAAAATACTATGCAAAATTCCAAATGTATTTCTCTTTAAAGTTAATATTAATTTTAAAGTTATATTAAATCCTTAATTGCATTATTTTATAAAAATTTACAGTCAAATTGTTTAAGCTTTTTTTTTCATGAAATATCATTTTTCATTTAAAAATTTTTTTTTAACGAAGTTTTAGTGTATTTTCTTAGGCTATAAAAATACGAAATAATTTTTTTTTATTATCTTATGAAGTGTTGAATACATTTTTAAGAATAATTGAAATATTATCTATATTTTCTATGTATAATTTGTGAGTATAAATTTTTAAATAATAATTTTTAATTTTTAAAAATCAAATTAATTTTAGGAATTAGTTTTCTTTTTCATCAAGTCAAGTATTTTTTATATTAAAAATTAATTTTTTATCTCAATATATTTTTTATTTTGAATTTATCAATTTATTTTTATTTTAAAAATTATATTTTTATTTAATTTTAATTAATAAAATATAATATTTCTTATAAATTATTATAATCTTTACTCTGTTTTATAATTTGTTAAATTTTAAAATCGTCATACAGTATAGTTTTAATTAATTATTTAAAAATTTAATTTATCTTAATAATGCCCAAAAAATCAATAATTTTTATATAATCATAAAGAAGTAAATAAATTTTTAATTTTTGTAAAATTTTTAAAATTTAAATATATATTGAGTGACTTTAGAAAAAATTATTTTCAATAATGAATAATGGGAAAAAAAATTAAATTCTTATAAAATTTTATTATTTCTTATGTTATGACTAATAGAACTATCATACTTTTTTTTTATCATTATTTTGTAAAAGGGTAAAGGAATAAGAAACTGCGTTATACACCCGTGTGAAAAGATTGGAAATCAGTTTAAAATCACATCTTGCGAGACACAATTAACATAATTTTACCAAAAAGCAAAATAAATAAATAAATAAATAAAGTTACTTCTCACAAACAACATTTCAAATAATGTTTAGTGGAAAATTTTAATGTGTTTTAAAAGCTGATAAAAAATAATTATTCTTTAACATAAATTAATTAGAATTGATTAAATTATTTAGTTTGTAATATCTTTCATTTCTCTCTTTCATGATAGTAAAAGGGTTTAAATATAGATATTTTGTTGCCTTGAATCTCCATATATATAGGCATTTGTGATGCATGTAATTTTCTATCACAGAAATTTTAATAAAGGATGAATGTGGATACACATAGCTTTACATAATTGACATCTTCATGTCATGGAAAAACAAAAACATGTTTCTTGGACACAACATTTGCCCAAAAATATTTGTTACAACATTGCCAAAAATATTTGATTCCAAGTATCTGGAACTCCAGGCAAACACCAATGTATGCAATCTGCATTTAGTGGGTTAGTCCTTTCCTCCTCAGTCAAAATTTTACCCCCAGTTTCAGTGTAAACTGAGGAATGAGCATCAACTCTATACTCTGATATCTGTGTTATGTTTATGACATTCACCGGAACTTTCATTCTTTTCACCACTTTGGCCACCACACTCATCATACCCTTATTAGAACCACTTCCCCAATGATTCTTCTTCTTTACTGGCCTTGTCTCATTGAAACATTTCACACCATCCTTGTGGCCCCAGTCTGCGCTTCTGAAAACATTACATTTTAATCGTTAGAAATTAACAGTTTCTTGTGAGTGTCTGCGTGAGTACGATAATTAATGAATATTTAATGCATGAGTTGAAAAACACACGATAAGAATTTAATACATGATAAATTTTTATTAAAAATTATAATATTTAATATTATCAGTTACATAAATTTTTACTTTGTGTTGTTAGACGTATATTAGAACAGTTGTTAATATATCATATTAACTATTTTTAAATGCTATAAAAATAAATATTAAATGAATTTTTTATTAACATACGTATTTTTTAATAATTAATTATTTTATATAATCACGAACTAGAAGAAATTTTAGTGTTCAATAAACTTCAGGGTTTTCGCAACATGCTTCAAAGAACTGCTTGGCTTAAAACTCAAGTTGTTATAGAAAGCTGAAACTTGAAGAGAGAGAGAGAGAGAGAGAGAGAGACTTTGTGTGTGCAGGGGACATTGTTGTGAAGAAGACTCGAGTTTTGTTTGGATTAATAGTTGAGTCAACCCAATTGGCCCACGTCCTCAAACCCAATTTGTAAGCAATTGGTGTATCCAATTCTTCATATCCTTCTTCTCCATTGCCAAATGAACCCCATCTGCAATTAAATTACATGTTAGACATCATTTTCTTCCTTTCGGTTAAAGATCAAATTTTGTAATAAACTGACTAATAATGAATGAAAATGATCATATACCAAAAAAGATGACAATGATGATCCTTCAGATTAAGTAGTTTCTATTAGGTAAGATGTGATAGCTAAGTTGAAAAAGGACTTACAGTGCTTTTACTCTAAGACCACTCATCCACCATACATAGGTATTGAAAACAAGGATATCCACTCCTGTCCAGTTTTTGGCACGTTCCGTGATTTGATCTACTTTTATTATTCTCTTCTTCGGGTCTCCTATGATTCGAATATCAGTGTTGGACTCCACAAGAAATGGGGCCCAATAAAATTCTATGGTAGCATTATATTCCTATAAATGAAACATTCATAAAATAAATTTAGCCTTGGTTTTCAATCTAACAGTTAGCATGTTCAATTCAGAAGAATTCTAAGGAGTTTGTATTTATTAGGTAACTGCATGAACCAGAACCAGAAGAGCTTGTATCATGTCATAAACTACGTATCGAAGAAGCATGAATACGATACAGGATACGGTTAAGATTCGACACAAACCGAGATATGACCAATTTGAAAAGTTTTAAGATATGACACGGCTATAATACAATGCATAAAATTAGTAAAAAGAATAATATAGAAATACAAACTTTAAAGCAAAAGAGAATTTTAATTTTAGCAAGCGTCACAGACATGATAATATGATATCTTGTAATAGTATTCTCATTTCTATTGATATAAAAGTTTGAAAATTTTAAAAATAAATAAAAAAATATAAGCAAAATTGTCTATAGAACGTATGACACGGGTAATGTTTTAAAGTATCCTGTTGACGCTTAAGCTGTTACGGTGAAAACCCATGAATGATTTTGTTACATAATTGGATGCTTGATTCTGTGTTCGACCATTACTCATTATGACATTACCTTGGCTTTGAAGACTGAATGAACACGCCCTCGTTTCATTGACTTTTTCTTTTCAGGTATGATACCTTGGACCAAACAGACAAAAGATTCCCATTGGTTTCTTTGCAGTGAATCCCCTACAAATAATAGCCTCTTTCCTTGAAGCTTCTTAAGTGCTAGCTCTGGATTAAATCTACCAAATATATTTATTTAAACATGTGGCACTTACAGAAGTTACATATACACCTCAATGACCAAAAATTAAAAGATGAATAAAAACATGCTCAAGTGTGAGACTTACGGGGGCAAGGTGCAATCTTCTGGCTGCCATTCCCAATGAAGGTAATCAGAATCATTCCTTCCATTCTTGACACAAGAAAATTGTCTATCTATGTAAGGACAGCTAGTGTCTGAGTACAATGGCTTCAATGAGTTGTTAAATACCCATTTTCCATTTGCAACATTGCACTCTTCTGGGTCAAAATCGAACCTATCATCCAACCATGGGGCATTTTCAATCACTTCCTCAGCTTTCTTATCATCTATGTAACAATCACAGTATATATGGGACATCATTGCATTAGAACCAAATTGGTATGAAACACAAAGTACGGAAAGATTACATGAGAAATAGTTATGACATTTATGAAGCTAACTTACTAGATTTTGATTTGGTGTGCTTTCTAGGACAGGTTTTGAGCTTGAAAATTGAACTGGAATTAAGAAAACTTAGTCTTTCTGCATACAAGACTGCTATGAAGACAAGAACACAAATTGTGGTGACGATGATGGGTAGAGGAAGCTTTCCTCTGGAAGGCTTCATTGTTCCTGAAGGGATCATGGGAATGAGGGTGGCAGAAGATTAAAGGTAGCCATATGGGAAGAAAGAGTGTGAATTAATGCACAACACAACAGAATGATGGTGACATTGTTGAGAGGGTTTTAGGAGGTTTTTGAGTAGGAGTGAAGTTAAAGCATAGTATGTTTTGGTTATGTGTTAATTATGTTAATGGATACTGGAGGTTTGGAAATGACTTGAAAAGGCTAACATCTTTAGTTCTTGCTGTGTCCATGTAGTGGAAGCTATACATTGACCAAACTATTATGCTTATGTAGACCGTAAGGAATATCCATCTGGTGGGAAATATATTATTAGAAGGTTTGTTGAATCTCTCAAATTCACACTCTTTCATAACTTGTGTTTTAGTATGATTGCATATAAGTTCATACCTGCTACTGCTGGTAGATTTTTGTCAATAGCATAGGAAAAATTATTATACATTATTTCTTCTTACCCAATCTTTCACCTAGTTTTTTTTATTAGGTTGTGTTTTTTAGAGGACCTTTGTTATACATGGTGAGTCTCAAGTAACAAGTGAACCAATCCTTATAAAGAACAATGTAAAAATATGAGAGATGGGAAGAGAGGCGAAAAAAAAGTATTGAGTAAGATGTACTATATATAAAAAAAAATGTAGAAATTTGTACATATATCATTACTACTTTTTTATTATGACACAAATGTAAAGAAGAATAGAATGTTTATTTTTCGTCAATATTCTTTATCCCTTTACACCATGCCATATGCGATAAAATAGTAACTCACTTATGGATGAAGAGAGAGAGAGAGAGAGAGAGAGAGAGAGAGAGCAATAGAAAGAATTTTTTTTTACGCTCTCTGTCGAACATTTAATCACATGCGATGTAATAGAGGTATAAAATGTATAAAAAAGTCATGTAAAATGAATAATTTTTTAAATAAGAAATGAGGATTTTTTATTCTTTTGAAGTCAAGTAACACTTATGGTTGATGGCAGTGAATTGTTTCATAAAGTTATAGTGAATCACATAACTCGAAAGGACAAAAAACAAAAAGAAAAGTATAAAATGATTGTAAAGATACCATGAATCTTTAACAATTATAATTATTTCCCAGTTTTTTTTTCTTTACATCTCTTGAAAAAATGAGCCTCTTTTACCCTATTTAAGCCTTTTGAAAATGATTTTTTAAAAAAATTATATTGGCCCCACCTTTGTTTTCATGGCAATAATTACTGTTTATGTCCTCTTATCATGGTTTCTTAAGAACTTGAATTTTAACAAATAGAAAACAAGGGAGACATCATGCTTTATAACTTAGTATGTACTTTATTGGAGCCTAAGGAAGGAAAAACTTGAGACAATAGAGTGACTTGAGGAGATGGTAACAGACATGGGTCGCAAAACGAAGAGAAAGAGTAGGAGAATCTTAGCAGAGATGCAAAAAAGCAATAAATTAAGTTAATTTTTTTCAAGTAATGAAGACAAGAGATCAATAATAATATTCATACACTTATATATGATATTTTTTAAAACTATTTTTTCAATCTCATTTTTTAATTTATTTCTTGATTTTATCACACCATATTATTATTAAATCTTTTCATTTTGTCCCTTTATTTATTTGTTTTTCTTTTTTCACCTCCTACACCTTGAAAATGAGACCTGTGACCTGTGAGTATAGTTATTCAAAAGATATTGTATACTTTTTTTTTTAATAAAAAAAAGTAATAGCAGTACGAGTCTTGACTCTTGGCCATTGAAAATATACTTGATTAACATATTTAGTATTATATATATATATATATAATAAGATTTTCTCAGTAATTTTTATTTTTATTTAAATTTTTTATTTAACTTACATTTGACAGTTTACAATTTATTATTGATAGATATAAGTTAAATTTAAATAAAAATATAAATTAAATATAATTTTTTTTAAATTTACATGAGTGTAGGTGTGAAAAATAAAATAAAATATATATATATATATATATTTAAAATAAAAATGTTAATTTCTTTTTGAACCTTTACAATTTACATTGTAACTTGCAGAACTAATTATTGAAAATTCAATTGAATGGCATTTCCATATCAGTCTTGTCAATCTATGAGTATTTTCAACCGGGTCAAATCCTCTAAGAAATTTAATACTAAAATGGATGAGAAGTAATGTACCAAAGAAAAACTAATTGTTTTTATTTTTTATTTTGGCTCCAATCAATCATACACAGCAATTCATATTCATTTTTAGGTTGTCAGTTTTCAGCACACGTTAATCATGAAGAGTTTAAAAATAGGTTGAGTGTGACCTCCTTTCATAGGAAAGGTGAATATCATCATGGTATAAAATCTTCAAGAGAAATAACAATGCTGCGCAATCATCAACTCACCCTAATGCATTGCAACAGTAAAAAATTTCATCAGTGAAAATCACCCAAGTTCTTGGCTTTAAAGATTTCATAATTTAGATATTAACATTGCAACTTAACACACATCCAATGGTTACTAACGAAACCTCAGATTACCTGAAAAACCCTTAGACTAACAACTATCATGATATTAAATGAAATTGATGCAATAAAATCCTCAATCAACCAAACAAAAATTGATAGATTAACGGGTTTGGAAGTTGACAACTTACAAAACCATCACAAATCAAATCATTGTTCAACAGAAATTGTTCATAACTTGCACTTTAGAGGTGATTTTGAATAATCTGTTACTTAAAACATGGACTTAACCTAATGCCATTATATTGATTTCCCAACAGCAGGGAGCACCATTTTTTTTTTTTGGTCAAGCAGGTAACACCATTATTCCCTCAAATTTTCTCATATGGGCCTAAACCAATCCAAAATGATTGGGCTTGGCCCAATTGACGCAATTTTCAGCAACTCCCATTCAACGTTGAAGCAGATAGCATCTTCTCTCACTGTTATGATCTTTCGCCTATGGCTACCTTCAACCTCTCTTCTATGCACACTCTTTCCTTTCATCGTTTATTTTCTTCTTTTCCCCTAAGTACCCCTACCCTTTCGTTCAATTTACAACCCAAACCCTGTGTGAACCCTCACCCAATTTCTCTGAAACCCTACAATTCAGAGAAACTTCGGACACGTGTGGTGGCTCTGGCCGTGAAGAACCTCGGCGAGACGGAGTCGGTGACGGTGTCGCCGGAAAACGATGGACCCGCCGGAGAACTGCCGTCGGGAGCCGGCGTTTACGCCGTTTATGACAAGAACGGCGAGCTTCAGTTCATTGGCTTGTCACGTAACATTGCGGCGAGCGTTTCGACCCACTGGAAATCGGTGCCGGAGCTATGCGGTTCCGTCAAAGTAAGAATTCTGGTTCTTCCATGTCGTAATTGATATTAATAAACTTTGAATTGTTTATACTCATTGTTATATATGGTTTTGATGGCCAAAGTATTAGAGAATGGTTCATTTTATTTAACTTAGTATTGATAAAAAAAAAAAAGCAGTTTTTGTTTTATCGTTTTTCTAACGTGTATCAACACCTCATTAAACTTGATTATTAATGTAATTGACAATAAACTATATGAAAAATTTTATTAAAATAAGCTGAAAGGAGTTCACGTTAGTCAAAAATGATGGACAAGGTGGTAATGCTAAGGAGCAAATAGAAAGGGCACTAGTTAGGCAATCCTTTTTTGTGTAGCTTAGAATGAGGAGAGGAAAGAACAGACTTATGGTTTAGCAATTTAATGAAATAGAAAGGAAAGTTTTTACAAATGTCTTGTTACCTTTTTATTATCAATGAATGAAATCGGGAATTCATGAAATTTCATTTCAAACAGGAAAAGTAGTTGAAACATAATATCAAGTACCTAGGCAAATGCGGAAAAGACAAAATGTATATTGGTGGTGCTTATTTTTATGTTTTATTTGTTTACCATGTAGGGCTAAAATAATAATTATGCTTTTGAGCCATTTGAGTTTCCCTTTGTTTCATCATTTCATTCATGGGTCATTTAGGATGAGATAAGTTTTCATTCGATTTTTTGGGTCCTTCCACAGTTCTTATGAACCTCACTTGTCTTTCCATTTCTTTTCACACTCGTCGTTTCCTTACTTTGAGAGCTTTGTGATAATAAAAGATCTTTTCCATCATTGAACGCAGCATCTTCTGCATCAACATGATCTCTTACAATGTGCTGGGTCAAGATTATTTAAACCCACATAAATAAAACCCTGCTTTAGAATGTGGATATTGGTTAAACAATTGGGTGACTACTAGAAAATGTATACAATACACCAATTGAAATAGGGTCTATGAGAAAGGTGATTTGCTCATCTCATCACATTATCTGGGTTAAAGAAATGGAAAAACCATATTTATGTTTTGAGTAATCATCTTAATCATAACTCATAACTCACTATCTGTGTGTCTCTGTCTTGTTCTTTTAAATGATTTAGCACAACCAAGTTGACTATAAGCACAAATGACAAACAGTATTGGAAGTGATATGATCCACTGAAAAAACTTTTTTTTTATATATCATAATAATTTACTGTGTTACATGGACTAGTTTGAATATACTTAAGATCACCATTCTCCAAATTTCCAGTAATAATACATTCCTGATGGTGGATTTTTCTTGGTGAATCTGTACACTGTAGGCTGGGATAGTGGATGAACCAGACAGGGAAGCTCTAACCCAAGCATGGAAGTCATGGATGGAAGAATACATAAAAGTGAGTGGAAAAGTTCCACCTGGTAATGAATCAGGAAATGCCACTTGGGTCAGGCAGGCACCTAAAAGGAAGCCTGATCTTCGGTTGACACCTGGTCGCCACATGCAATTAACTGTCCCTCTTGAGGACCTCATTGACAAGTTGGTAAAAGAGAACAAAGTAGTTGCATTCATTAAGGGCTCCAGAAGTGCACCACTATGTGGATTCTCACAGAGGGTAGTAGCCATTCTTGAAAATGAAGGAGTAGATTATGAGAGTGTGAATGTGCTAGATGAAGAGTATAATTACGGATTGAGGGAAACACTTAAAAAGTACAGCAACTGGCCCACATTCCCTCAGATTTTTCTGGATGGTGAACTGGTTGGGGGTTGTGATATATTGACCTCCATGTATGAGAAAGGTGAACTAGCTACCGTGTTCAAAAAATAATTTTGCAAGGTACCTACATTTGGGTATTCTTTTGAACTTGGAGAATATGAATAGAGCGTGGGACAGTAAGGGAAGGGTAATGCAGGTCATGTATATTTGTTTTTTTAATCAAAGTACAAAATGCTTGTCTTTTTCATTTACGACCACTGCACAAATCTCATTTGCATTGCATGGATGTATTTCTTGAAGGGTTGTTCGTACCCAATTATTTTGAAAAATCAATTGATGATCAGCGGAGCACAGGTGTAATATGTTACCAAGAGACAATGGGATCTTCAACTAACGATTATAAAGAAGATGAACAATTTTAATGAGTGGTTTCATCTATATTTTAATAAGTGCATTATAATTAAATTCATTATTATTATTATTATTATTATTATTATTATAAGGTGTTCTCTAAATGAGAGGATATTCTATATTCTTTACATGATGGGGTTAGTAATTTATTTGAAACAGACATAAATATTTTTAAATTTTTAAAATATTAAAGAAATTACACTCCTTAATTTAGAGAGAGTATATAATGCACTCTCAATTTCAAGAGTACCTTAGTAAACACATTATTATAGGGAGGTGGGAATTTATTAAATTTATTCCATTTAATAACCAAGTCTACAAAAATTCATACAGTTAAGAAATTGACACTTTATTCAATAAATTATTTTAACATTCAACATGTTTTATAAAATATAAGTATATTGATTTTAAAATTATACATATTTACAAATGTCTATTTTTTATAGTTACCCGTAATAGCCTATTTTTAAAATGAAATAACGAAAAATTAGAGTGATACCTTATTACCTTAAGTACATATGGCACATATTTATGTAAAGCACAAGAGTTGGCGCAGGGCGTAATGCTGTTACGTTTATATGTGTTATCGATTTATTTAATAGAAGGTCCTTCTTTGAACATTACCGTGTGTAAAATTATCTCAAGCCAGCAATAACTACAAAGTACTAGTAGAGATTAAAATGTGTTTGGATAACTGTTTATTTAATAGTTCCTTTCTTTTTTTTTAAATGATAACTTATATAATAAATTTAATAATAAAATTTATTTGAGATAGTTAAAAACAACTTATGAGAGTCATAAGTTGTTCCATTAACTTTTTTAAACATGTTCTTATTCTTGGGTTCTTTAAGCATAGAAAACTGTGTGATCTCCCTTTAAACACACACAAAAAAAAAAATGCAATGATTTTTTTTTTAAAGTTAATTATAGTTGAACGACTTTTTTAAAAGTTTGGTAATTTTCTAAAAATATCACATGACTTTTATATTTTAATCTTAACCATTCATAATAAAATATAATGATTAAAATTTATTTATTTTTATTTTTATTTTTCACACACATACAAGATTAAAATAAAATGATATTAGATATCAAATTTAATAAAATAATAATTTCAACAAGTTTTTAATTTATTCTTTCAAAAACAGGAAAAATTAATTTTATCTTCCAAAAATTATATAAAAAATATAAAATAATTTTGAAAAGAATGACATGCAATCGAGCGAAATTCAAAATTTCAAATACAACGCAAATCAACACCAAATAGTTTCTAAAATATTTATAATTCTTTCATGTTATAAAAATAAATATTTATGTAATAGTTCTTAATTCAAATATTTTCCTATTTTTTTTTATTTTCTTTTCTTGAAGATCCTTTATTTTCAGTCAAAATTGCATTCTATAAGAAGAATTAATACTATAAAATAGTTCTAACCCAAAAACCAAAAATAAGCTCTCTCTCTCTATATATATATGTGTGTCTGTGTGTCTGTGTTTTTAAGCTAAATGCAACCTCTTAAACTCAATTCATAATTAATTTTTAACTATTACAAATTAGCTATTTTATGGTTATAAATTTAAATGATTTCATAATAATTACGTGTCATGTAACTCTTAGAAAAGACATAAATATAAATAAAAAAACTTAAAAATATTAAATTATAAATTTAGTCCTTATATTTAACATATTTTTTTTTAATTTGGTCTTAAAAACAATTATAAATGTGTTGATTAACAATTAACAATATTAGACAAAAGAAAGCAAAACGTAAAATAGTTTATATAAAAATTAAAATGTAAATTTTTTACTATAATAATTAATTTATAAATAAAAATCAACTATAGAAATTAAATATATATTTTAATTAATTATAAATTTTAAAAGGCAATACAACACTAAATTTGATTAAAAAATTTATATTATAACTCAAAAAAAATATTAACAACACACTCTTAGTATTTACTAAAATTAATTGAAAATTATAAAAGTTATGTAACTCTCACTCTTTTTAATTTTTAATTTAATAATTATTTTTTATATTTTTTATTTTTAATAAATTTTAACTAATATTTAAAAAGTATGATTTTAACACTATTATAACTTAATCTTGTAGTCATAGTATACTAGATTCTTGACTAATAAAAATTTAATCTATTTTATAAGAATTTGTTAATCTCAATTCTTAAGGTTGATTTTAATTATCCAAAAATAAAAAAAAATTGTAAAAAAGAATATATTCATTATATTAAAATTAAAAGGTATTAAATATTTTTTAATAAATTTTTGCTATAATTAATTGTTTGAACTCATCTCTAGAGATTAAGTTAACATTTTTTTAATTTTTTATTTTGTATCTTTTATCATACTTTCAAAGAATGAATAAAATATTAGTATTGATATATATTTTTTATAATGTATATCAATTTGTATAAAATCTTTTAAAAATATTTTTTCTTTATAAAAAAGAAAATTTTTACTATCTTTAAAATATTACACTACACCAAATAAAAGTTTACTTCAAAATACAAGCTTTTAGTTTATTTAAATTTTGTAATTTTTTTATTTGGCACCTCATTATTTATTTTTTAAAATAAGTCCCCTATTTTTTTTATGATTAAGTTATATATTTGGTCTTTATAATTAATACTTGTTTATAAATTATTCTTTTATAATTAAATTTATGTTTAAATTTTTATGAGTGTTGTTTTACGTTTTTGTCTCTTTGTTTGTATATGTAAGGATTACATTATATATATTTTTGTATACACATCAATTTGAAAAGATGTGTCAAGTATAAAAAGTAAGTTTATAATTTAATCATTTAAAAATATTGTGTGAATAGTAATTAACATAACTATTTTAGACATTTGAAATAAGACCTCAATTTTTATCTTCAAATTAGGCTCAACTCATCATCATAAAAAAATACACGAGTTAATATAAAGAGATTACATATTTAAACAAAAACATAATTCAAATTATCAACACTGTTATCATTAATAATTTTATCCTTATTTGCTATAAAGTTCTCACATTTCTAAACAGTACACTACTAAACAAATAAAATTGAAATAGACTTTCTTCAATACAAAGAAAAAGCTGGAAAATATTTACTTATAATTTTAGCAATGAAATAAAACCAAGCCATGCGCCAATAAGCATTGATGCGCAGGACAATTATGAACCCCAACAATATTATTATATAAGATGCTGTGAAACTCCAATAGAATGCTGCCATGTCTACTGCTGTTTCATGTCCTTCTGTGTTGTTGAATTGTGATGATGGTGAACCTTCACACTTTCGCTTGAGGAGTGGTCCACAAAGCAAAGGATTACCTTTGTAGTTCTCCTCATCAAAGACTCCAAATTGCCCCCCACTGGGTGGTATTCCAGAAAGATTGTTGTATGACACATTGAAGATTGATAAAAAGTTCAACTTGGTTAATTGAGAAGGAATTACGCCACTCAAATTGTTGTAGGACAAGTCAAGGCTCTCAATCTCAGAAAGATTAGAAAAAGTATTTGGTATTGAACCAAACAAGTAATTATGGGATAAGTTTAGGACTCGAATTTTCTGCAAGCTTCCAATTTGAAAAGGGATAATACCAGTTAGAATATTGCATGATAAATCCATTCCATTCATTTGCTCAAGGATGTTGCCACTGTAAGAGTATAAATTGTTCTTTGTTCTAAATTCAACAATAGCCTTCATGTCATCCTCGTTGTCATCATTTGAAGGCATAAATATTGACACACTGGCATTAATGAAAGAACCAAATGGGGAATCAACCGTTACAGTTGAAAATTGAAAATCTGGGAAAGAAACAAGGTTTTCTTCCATTCCAAATGACAAATTGTTGAAGCATGATGGTATTGAACCCTTGATCTTGTTGCGTGAGAGATCCATGAGGGTGATTTTTTGTAATTGACACAACTGAATTGGGATATGGCCATGAAAATTGTTCCCTCCTATAGAAAGCACTTTCAAATCTGACAACTTGTCCATCCAATAGGGAATATTTCCAGAGAAATTGTTATCTCGCAAGTCTAGAATTTCTAGGCTTGAGCCTTCTGACAATGTGAATGGTATAGAACCTGAGAAAGAATTATTTTGCAAATACAAGAACCTCAAGATTGATGGATTGATATGTGAGATCGACCCTGATAATCTATTTTGTGAAAGATCCAACATAAATACCATTCTTAGGTTTGAAATCTCAAAAGGGATCTCACCTTCCAACCGATTGTTTGCCATAAGAATGATCCCCACAAATGACAACTTCACAATTGAACTAGGAATTTCACCTGAGATTAAATTATCTGACATGTCAAATATCTCTAATCCTCTACCATTCAAATTTTCCAATACCTCTTTCAAAGTGCAGTTGAGGTTGTTATTATTGAGAAGCAACTCATACAGAAATGTAATACTAGGGAATTTAGGAATTTTCCCATGGAAAAGATTGTTGGAAAGCTTCAATTTTTGTAGCCTGATGCAACCAATGGCTAGTTGTTCTGGTAATTCGCCTGAGAAGCGATTATGTGACAAATCCAATGAGTTAAGTTCTTGCATTTCACCAATTGAAGCAGGTATACTTCCTTCAAAGTTGTTATTTGATAGATTTAAAATGCTAATGCCTGGAAGGAATGTGCCAATATCTTGTGGGAGGGAACCAGAAACATTGTTGTTTGAGATATCTAGGTGAACCATGTCTTGTCTGATGGAGGACAATTGAAGGTTTCCAACAAATAAGTTATTCATAAAAAATAAATATTGGAGTTTTGAGTTATTTTGTATCAACCAACATGGGAATTCTCCAACTAATTTGTTATGGGAGAGGTCGATAAATTGCAATTCTTTTTGATATTGGAGAAAAGTAGGGACAACACTTCCTTCACCCATATTTAAGTTGCTTCGAAGGATGAGTGACTTTAATTGAAATGTTGGAAGCCACTTTGTCTTTTCAGTTTCAACTCGTGCTTTAGGATTTTGGGAAGAAATATATAGAACTTGAAGTTTAGAATGGTTAGCCAAAGTACTCAATGAAAATGAGCCTTGTAGGTAATTGTCAAAGAGAGACAAGTACACAAGGGATGTGACATTGCTAATGAAGGATGGAAAATTGCCAGTGAACAAATTTTGAGAGAGATCAAGTATTTGAAGGTTTCTCAGGCTGCTCAAACATTCTGGAATCTCACCATTAAACTTATTTGAACTTAGACCTAACTCTATGAGATCCTGCATCTTGCATAATCCTGTCAAATAATATGTAGTCACAAATTGAGATTATGAAATAGAACTTAACTAGAGTAAGATTATTAATTTAAGATTTTATTAACAAATGTATTTTTAAATTTAGGATTTACAGATAGAATAATGATTATCACTGTCAAACAATTGTTACCCTATTAATTAAATTATTTTCTAATTTTTGGTTTTAAATTTGAAGCATGCATTGTACATTTTTTTTTAAATGTAGCACAATATCTAAAATAAATACACTAGAATATCTGAATTTTGCTTTACCATACATATAATTTATGAAGCAATCATGTATGTATGTGAAAACAAAGCCAATGTTAGGTAAGTGTATTACAATACCTTCAATTGAGCCGTTTAGATTATTATAACTCAAGTCTAACACTTCCAATCTTTGCAATTTCTGAATATCTGCAATAGAAAAATTATTGTTACAAATAAATGATATTTATTTTAATATCAATTCATTATTTTTGAGTTATGTGTAATTTTTTATCTCTGAAATGTTCCTATGCACCTCCTTTAGTGACCCACACTGAAGCATCTATTCATGGAGCATTGAGTCATTGACTAGCATAGGGGTGACAATTAATTCTCACTTGAGGGGATTCCCGCGAGGACCACCCTAAATGGGGTTTTGAATGCAAAAAATTTCTTTCTGCGGGACGGGGATGCGGATGAAAATTCTTCCGGAGCTAATTTAGATTCTTTAAAATTTATTAAATTTTTAAAATATAATACAATTTTATTTTTTATTAAAAATTATTTAAATTTAACAATATTTATATAATATATAATTTGATATTACAGATAAATTATTGATTGTACGTTAAGAAAATTATGATAAGAACAACATTTATATTAATTATTTATATAAAATTTCTTATAAATAAAATTATTTGATAAAAGTTTTTAGAAAATAAAAATTTTAAAATAAAACACTCGTTCGTTAGTTGTGTTACTAACTAGTTTTATGTTCTTCAAAATATTAAACCTTTATCATAAAATAGTCATTTACAAAACATAGCATTAACTATATTTATCATTTTTCTCAAAATTACTTTCATTACTTATTACCGTCATTAAGGATATCATTATAGTAACCATATCCTCACTAACTATTATTACTATTTATTATTATTGTTATGATTGTGCATTACCACCATAAGGAGTGATTTATTATATCCAACAAATTTTAAATTTAACATAAAAAATGAAAATCAAAACCATAAAATTTTCAAAACTTTTAAAATCACCCTAAATGAGTCCTTCGCTTGTCAAGAAAAGGTTTAGCTCGCCAATAAAATAATATATGAATGGAATATTTTTAAGGTTATCATGGAAGGATGTAATAATAATAATAATAATAATAATATTGTATTTCTTTTTCTTATGTATTAAATTTATTTTCTCACTTATTGATTTTGCTTTTTATTTTGAATATATAAAAGTATTTTGATTGTTCATTGACCATTACGCTAAAAAAAGTAAAGAATAGAAAAAGAGAGATACCTAGAGCAGAGAAAAGGGCATCCATTGAGTTATGGTTAAGCTTCAAAGTCTTTAGCGATGTCAGTTCATTCAAACCAAGCGACCCACTGCTCGTTAGGCTGTTATGCGAAAGGTCTAAAGTCTCCAACTTCATCAAGCTTGGAAGTCCTTAAAAAAAAAAAAAGCATAGTTATGAGAAATTTCAGCTTACTAACAAATACCCTGCATCATACCCTTGATTTTCAGCATAATCATTTGTTAATAAGAAAAGAAAGAGTAAATTTTATTTTAAAATTTGCAATAGGAAAATCAATGTGATGAAAAGTATGAGAAAACATAAGAAACCTTCATTGGCAATGGAGCCTTGATACCCGTTGATAGACAAATTGAGAAAGAGTAGTTCTACAAATGGACGAAACAGTGAAGTGTTTATCAGATGAATTCCTCTGGCATTGAGATTGTCAAGGGAAAGGTGTGTTACGGGGGCATTTGAGATGTTAGAGCATTTGATTCTGTTCCAAGCACAACAATCACTTGTTCTATCCCAAGAACCCAATTCCCCTTCATTATAAGGGTTGGAACCTAGAGATAAGATGTGGGCCTTGATCGCTAGCAGGCCCATTCTCTCCTTCTCCAAGCACCCCTCACATCCTTGCTTCTGTATAATTAGCAGTGCCACAAAATACAAAGGGAAACTCCAAACCAAAGCCACCCTCATTTCAGTGTTATCATATTAATGAACTCATTTTCTCTATTTATAAGGAAATAGTTTAGAAGCACCTTTCACTTGAAAAAAATTTCATCGAAGCACATGAAAGACTTGGGTGTTGACTAGGGATGAAGAAATTTGGCAGGGATTATCATACTTGATAGACATTTGATACCTTTAGTATTAATCACACATTGTTGTGTCTTCACTATTGTTGTATCTTAGTCAATAACAACATTGAAAAAATGATCTGTTTTATCTTTTAATTGTCTACGCGCCAAGTAATTAACTATGTTGTGATTGAGTATGAACAAGTCAAGAGTCTTCGCCGTCAGATTCACCCTAAAAAAATTGTGAACTTTTCATCTGATTGACGGGGAAATTAAATTAACCACGTACTCACGCTAAAATAAAGTTGTGAACGACTGATAGTAAATTAGCTGATCAGTAGTCTTTACCATTATGCTTGCGTTCACATGTTTAAATTTTGAGGAAACAGAACAATCTACACTTTATTTTTTGTGATGAATTTATTTTTTAAAAAGTCAAAATAACTTTTAAAAATGATAAATTTATGAGATAAATGCTTTTATTTATTTTTTTAAATATACGCAGCCACAAAAAGAATGTTATGTAAGAACACAGCAAGAAGTGCATTATTCATCTCTCTTAGATCTATGAATATTTCTTATTAATTGAGGAGTAGGTTGTGGCAAAAGAAGTTATTATCAAATCTTTTGGCAAGCAAATGAAATAATTTAAAGCCTACACTTGAAAGAAAGGAAACAATTATAAGCAAAGAAATGATTTAAAATATATTTACTGTGAGAAATTTGGATATAAACATACAAACTGTGTATTTAGATTTTAAAATAACTACGAGGCTAAATATTGCAAAAAGTAGTGCCAAATCACTAATGAGAATTATAATTATCCAAAAAACTTATTCTTTTTCTAAACAACTTTTAATTTCATAAATCTTATAAAAGTGTAAAAATCAATTCAGACAATATTAAAATTTTTGTGCCTAGCTTAAAATTGGAAGAGACAAAATTGAAGTTCAAAATATTTATTTTTAAAATAAATATATTAATAAAATTTAGGAACTCTTATTTCTTTTCTTTTCCGCATTACTCAAGTTTTTTTTATCACAGCAGGAATGATATAAAAAGGATATAATTGTATTTTCTTACCTCTTTCATTTAAATTATGTGTAAATATGATTCTTTAGGTGTTTTAAACTAATTAATTAATTTTTCTTATTTTAAAAATCATACAAATGTAGTCTTTCGTTAATTTTATTATTTAAAATTTTCAAATTCTTTTAAATAAAGTTTTTGAGGGATTTGTAATGAAATTAGAACATGAAGTGATTTTATTAAAGTCTTAGAAGTAAAAAATTTAGTGAACAATTGTTAAAATTTAAAACATTTCATAAAATATAAGTTTAAGATTTGAAGAAAATAAATTTGGTATTTTGAAAGAAATTTGATACTGTGGTTGAGTTTTGTCCCAACTTTTCAGAACTACGCTCCATCACAATTCTCCTCCTCTACAAAACACAATATTAATTTTTTTTCATATTTTAAACATAAATAATTTGAGATAAATAAATAAATTTAAGTAAAAATTAATTAATACTAGATAAATACTTAAAAAAGAATTTTATTATTCATATATATTTTACTCAACTCAAATATAATTATTTTTAGTAAAAATTACTCGTAATTTAGAAAAATAAATACTTGTACTGAATAAGGCATCACTCGGCCATTATGGCAAAAAAAGGAATCTGAGTACCCCCTCAGCATAAGGACGAATACCCAATCAGGTTAAGATAAATTAGACATATTAGAACAGATTAAGGTAGATAATCATTAATTATGTACTTACACTGAAGGCCTAAGATAGGGTTGAGTCATGAAGCCCATTAACCCAAAATATCGTCTATAAAAGGAAAATAAGAAGTACAGATAAGGAATTAACTTTCGAATCTTTAATAACATTTACTGCCTATACCGACACCTGACTTTACCATCAGAGTGCCTTTTGCAAGTACATCCCCCCAACGTCATCATACAGAATAGATTTAGAGATACTTGCAAGGACATCATCATACAGGACAAAAGAGGAGCTTATGAAAGACTAGTGTATCCTAGCAGGAACATTTTGGCGCCCACCGTGGGGCCCGATTTGCCTCAACTTCAAATCAATTATGGTGCTAACAAGGAGTCAGCACGAAGGACAGAGTCAGCAATGGAGAGCCTTTCATCAACAGGAGGAAACTACACCTAACCCACCAATACCTAAAGTTCTGGCTGAAAGGGGACGAGATGAAAATCTCTTTTCGGTAGTAAAACAACTAAGGGCTGAAATGATAGAGATACAGAGGTTAAGAGAAAAAGACGTGCTTGAATTGTCGGCATTGAGGAGAGAGAATGCCAATCTAAGGGACGAGATCATAACTTATATTCCTTCTCAAACTACCCCTTTCGTCCAGGAGCAAGGAGAGTCTTTGGCTTTGCAGGAAAAGCCAAAAACATAACAGCAGACTACTCCCATGGAACAAGATAGGACATCAGGCCGAAGCCCTTTTACTCGGCTTATCTTAGAAGTCAAGTTGCCAAAAAATTGGAAGGTTATAACATTGGAAAAATATGACGGAACATTCGATCCTGAAGAGCATTTGGATATCTTTTCAACTCAAGTTGGCCTATATGCAGACAATGATGCTTTATTATGTCAGATATTCCCCACATTACTTCGTGAACCAGCTCTCAACTGGTTCACCAGGTTACCCCCTCGTCAATTGATTCATTTGAAACACTCCGCACACGTTTCAATTTACAATTTGCCACAAGTCGTCCTTATCCATTGATATCATTGGCGTTAGTTAATATATGTTAAGAGAAGAAAAAGACACTTAGAGCGTTCATGGAACGCTTTAGCAAGGTAGCCCTCTCAATCCACAACCTGGAGCCGGCAGTCGCCATGCATCACCTTACAACAACTTTAAAGCCAGGACCTTTTGTCAACAACATATGCAAGAAACCACCTGCTGATTTAGATGAACTGAGAAGTCGAGCAGCAAAGTACATGCAGATGAAAGAACTGGCCAAGTACCGAGGCCAAGTTTAAATGGAAATAGGGTTAAACCAAAGAGAGGGTGATAGAAGTGAACCATTCAAAAATAGACAGGAAAATAGAGACAGAAGGAGTGAAGCTGAACGACCCCCCAAGAGGACCAAAGTATACCTCTTATACTACTTTAAATACTAATCGGTCAAGAGTACTCGAACAGGTATTGGCAATTAAGATACTAACTATCCCTAGGCGCGCGAATACCCCCTTGGGTAGATAAGTCAAAATCATGTCGTTACCACAGAAATAGGGGCCATACCATTGAGGAATGCACAGCTCTTAAAGACCGCATCGAAGACTTGATCAAAGTTGGCCATTTGTAGGGATTTATACAAACCGAAAGGGGCAGGAATTACCAATTCGAGCCTTCAAGGAGATTTGAAGAGAGGAGAAACGAACAATAGCGTAGTAGATCAAGAGAGCCACCTGTCAGGCATCATAATGAGCGCGAGAAGTATTCTCTCCAAATCATTAATACTATAGTAGGAGGATTTGCCAGGAGAGCATCTACTAACTCGGCCAGGAAAAGACATTTGAGACATGTTCAGTCAGTAAATCATATTGTTAGGAAGCAGAATCCAGATTCCTCCTATCACATTTACTGACAAAGATTTTCAAGGGTTGGACCCAGTTCAGGATGACCCCATGGTTATAAGTGTTGATATCCTTAACTACACGATCTGTAAGACCTTAATTGATCAAGGGAGTTTAGCTGACATCCTTTATTGGAATACCTTCAAGCAACTGGGTATACCAAAAGAAGAATTAAGGGAGTATAATGAACCACTTGTCGAATTCTAAGGTGAGCGAATATAAACCCAAGGTTGCATAGATTTACACACCCTTTTTGGTTCAGAACAGGAAGGAAGATAACTTACCTAGTGGTACATGCAAGTACGTCATACAATATATTACTCGACCGCCCATCCCTCGACAAGTTGAAAGCCATAGTGTCAACTTCTCACTTAACGATGAAATTTGTCTCAGACAAAGGCCGAATTGTCACGGTCTATACAGATCAGAAGATGGTCAGAGAACTATTTTGCAAGTTTGCGTTTAAAACCGCTCCTCGCGCATAGATGAGATGTCAATATCATATCTCCTCAGTCAGAGGTAGAGTTAGACGTAGAACTCGACTCGAGAATAGACGAAGGGCTTTGGGTTGAACGCAATGAAGATAAGAAATCTTTTCAAATAGGGAAAAAATGTGAGCAGATCACGCATCTCGGAGTAGGCTTGTCCTTGGATGAGGACCTGGCACTTCAAAAGGTGCTAATAAGCAATGCCGACTTGTTCGCATGGTTGGCCTCAGATATGCTAAGTATAGACCCAAATTTCTTGTGCTATCGTTTATTCGTTTACAAGGGGCCAAACCGGTTGCCCAGAAAAAGAGAAATATAGGTAGTAATAGAGCACAAGCAGTCAGGAAGAAACTAACAAGTTATTACAAGCCGACTTTATCCAAAAAGTACGATACTCCACCTGGTTAGCTAATATTGTTATGGTAAAAAAGGCAAATGGAAAATGGAGGATGTGTACCAATTTCACTTATTTAAATAAAGCATGTCCCAAGGATGCCTATCCCTTTCCCAACATCGACGCCTTGGTTGATGGAGCCACCGGCCACAAAATGCTCAGTTTTTTGGATGCATATTCTGGATACAATTAGATTTGGATGTACCCCCAGATAAAGAGAAGACGACCTTTATCATGGACTTGGTTAACTTTTGTTACAAAGTTATGGCCTTTGGTCTTAAAAACACAGGAGCAATATATCAAAGGTTGATGGATAAGATTTTTGTAGGACAAATAGGGAGGTGTATGTTGACGATATGGTAGTTAAATCCATTTCTATCAACAGTCATGTC